TCACAGAATCGCAACTTCATCCGTCCCTGGGACAGACGGGCCTCCCTTCTCCTCCTTGTTCCGAGCCATCTGTGCCACCACTCTGTCGTGTCTTGGTGAGGAATCTCTATGTGATGGCCCCAGAAGTACAGGAGTCGTGGCTCACCTCAACTGCTCTCCATGCAGGGGGCTTCTTTCTCACCAGGTAGCGCCCACCCGGCCCCCTCGATGGGGAACAATACTGGCTTAGGAGGAGGGAGGATGAACGCAAAAGCGAGGGAGAATGAAGGATGAAGGTGTCTCCTCTCCCTTGGGTGCAGTTATTCTCAGATTCTGTTGTTCCCTTGTGCTGGGGGTTTTTATTTGGGAGTCATGCCTGGCTGTGCTCCAGGATCACTCTTGGCAGACTCAGGGACCCACATGTGGACGCAGGGATCAAATCCAGATCAGCTGCACGCAAGGCCAGGTCCCTACCCATTGTCCGTGATGTATTCGATATGCCCAACACAGTAACAACAAAGTCTCCAGTGGAGACGTTACTGGGCCTGCTCAGCTTGCCTGAGTTTGATCCCCAGAACCCCATGCTGAATCACTCCAGCTCCATGTTGGGAATGTTCTTAAGTAGATTCCAGAGCGATCCCTACACTTCTTCTTTGTCACTGGAGGTGTCCTCTACACAATTTTCTTTTAGTGGTACCACCTCTGTCCTCTAACTCAAGAACCACCTGACAGAAGAGATGCAAAGGACAAGGTCTGCTGGGACAGCTGTGCGTCCACCTGCTCACTACCCCACAATGCCACGTGTCCCCGGAGACGTCAGTATCTTTACCCAGCTCTGTTGGTGCAGTTCCTAAAATGCTGCATGTCCAGTCTCAAAGGGGCTGGTAAATCCTTTCCTGTAAACAGTGAAATATGCACGCTGTGTTTTGTAGGTCATGTGAACTCTCACACACCCTTCCTAAGTTTAAAAACAAGAGGCAGCCCTTGAGACACAGGTCACTTGTCTTGACCCGTGGCTGTCTTCTCCCAAACCCCCGCCTTCTGGATTGATAGAAAACCACATACGTTACCGAAAGGCTTTGACAGGGAGCAGATGACATCAGTGTTGGCTGAATCACACACAGTTCTGCTTCTACTGAATCCCACCCACCCAAAATCGGGGAGTTGTTTGATAAAACTGGCAGATGAAACAAGGAAAGTCAACAATTCTGCAAAGGTGGGAAGAAAGGCAGGTGGTGAAACCCAAAACGCAGACCCTGGTAAGCAACTCCATATAGTGTAGTAACTCACAGTTTCAAATAATAAATCCAGGCCAGAGCAATAGCACAGCAGATAGGACATTTGCCTTGCACACAGTCAATCTGGGTTCGATCGCCGGCATCCCATATGGTGCCCTGAGCACAGCCAGGAGTAATTCCTCAGTACAGAGCCAGCAGTAACCCTTGTGCATCAACGGGTGTGATTCCCAAAGCAAAATAAATAAAATAGTAATTCCATCCAACTATAAATTATTTTTTTGATGCCCATGTGGCATTATCTTCTAAAACTGTTCGTAAACATTGGAGAGCACAGAGGCTAAGCAGCTGGCCTGAGTTTGATCCCCAGAACCCATGCTGAGCACTGTGGGAGTGATCCTCAGTGCAGAGCCAGGGGTAACCCCTGCCATCACAAACTGTGGTCTAAAAGCCAAAAAAAAATACATATTTTTTTCTTTTAAACTGTTAGTAATGAAGGGGAAAAAGAAAAGTCTCCCAGAAAAAAATCAGAGTCATTTAGAAGTAGCACAGAATTTCACCCAAGCAACAATGCTGAGAAGGACTTATTGGGCGTTCTTCTCGGTGACAAATTTTTAGATTTTTCTCTTTCTGAGAGACTCCAGACATTACCTAGTCTATTCTCTTATTTCAGAGATGAGGATCTTTTTTTTTTCTTTTTGGGTCACACCCAGTGATGCTCAGGGCTTACTCCTGGCTCTGGACTCAGGGATCACTCTTGGCAGTGCTTGAGGGACCATATGGGATGCCAAGGATTGCACCCGGGTTGGACACGCACAAGGCAAACTCCCAACGGGTGGTACTATCGCTCCGGCAGGAGATGAGGATTCTAAGGTCAAGCAATCTGAAATAATTGGGTTGTTTCCATTCACGATTCAATGTGGCAGGGTTGAATATTTCTCAGACTTCACCCTTGGGTATGCTATTAAGTGCTGGGGTAATTATTCAGGAAAAGCTACTCCCCTCTTTGTTTTGATCTGTAATTCACCGTGAAGACTGGTGAAACAATGTACTGTAGCTGTTCCCAGTATGCAGAAAACAGCGTTCCTGCTTGCAGGGCAGAGGAGGCTACAGAGTCTCCGTCCTGCCAGCCCCTTCTTCCCTCACCCCTCCCTACTCTCTCCATCCCACCCATGCACCCCCACCCTCCCTCCACTGTCCTGGGCTCAGTTCTTCCAGCAGTGACTCGACATTGACCCCTGTTCCCATTTTTCTTCTTTTTTACTAGTGAACACCGTGAGGTACAGTTGTAGACTTACAAGTTGTTGTGCTTGGGTTTCAGTTACACAATGATCGAGTACCCATCCCACCACCAGTGCCCATTCTCCACCCCCTCCAATCCCAAGATCCCTCCCACCCACCCCCAACCCCCATCTCACCCTGCCTCTGTGGCAGGGCACTCCCTTTGGTTCTATCTCTCCTTTTGGGTGCTGTGGTCTGCAGAAGAGACATTGGGTGGCAATCATGTTCGGTCCATAGACTACTTTCAGCAGGCATCTCCCATCCTGGGAAGATCTTCCCAGCACCCTTTATTTGGTGCTCCCTTCTCTATATGAGCTGCCTTTGCCCATTTTTCTTCTTAAAACTAGGTTCAAGTCATATTCCTGTCTACCTCCCACCCCAAAACAGGAACATTTTAACTCAGCTACTGACCTCAAGTACTATGTGTTGGTGGCTCTTCACCCCTAAACCTACCTTCACTTTCCCTAGATGTGTCTTTATCATGATTCCATTTTCTCTGCTGACGCCTTCAAGTGGTTCCTCACAGCCACCGGTCCCTCAACAAGCACCAGCTCACGCCTGTGACAGGTCAAGCCTGTCGGACCCCTTACACCGCGTCCTCATACCCATCACAGCCGCCCACTGAGGCCACATGGGCCGGCTTTCCGCCCCTTCTTGCCACACCTTGGAGTCTAGTTTCTTCTGGAAGGAACCAAAGGTGACCTTCTATCAGATTATATGAGTAAATGAGTTAATTCTCCCAATGGGGGGGGGGGAACCCGACACCTATTCTGCAAGTAAGAGTATTCTGCAAGTAAGAGATAGTCATAAGTTAAAACACCAAATTTATTGTGTAATATCGGACTATATGCACACACATAGAAAATAAACATTTCATATAATTGTATATCTTTTTAATCTCATTTTATAAAGACTGAAAAACCACCAATTTAGCAATTGGAAGAGGTTTTATAAACCAAAAGAAAAAGCAAAAATCTACAATCCTTCATTGAGAGTTGATGCAGAATCATGTTTCATAAATACTTCTTTTTATATAAATAAGTCTTTTCTCTAGCAACTAGTGATTTAAAATCAGGCTGACATGGATTCTCTAATCATGTAGAATTTTCTTATCCCGTGATGAAAGAGGTTGAACATGTCATTTTTAAAGATACATATATAGATATATATTTGTCTTAAACACAATTCCCCCTGAAATTGCATTGTAAACAAACATTTCAAATGCAATAAACAAAAGCCCCATAATAGAGAACACCTTTGAAGTCTTAGCAATGTGGGAGGCGGAAAAAACAAAATCCGAGTAGAAAGTCTGCATGTTGTATAGAAATTTAGAACAAAAGAGGCATGCATCTGGTAGAAGGAGAGGGGGAAGGGCTATGAGGTTAGGATGAAGTAGAACGAAAAGGAAGGGAGAAAAGGAAGAGAAAGTGGCAGAGAATATAAAGTAATGGAGAGAGGGGCAAAAACTTATTATTTCAACTCTGCATGGAGAAGGTACTTCAAAAAAAATTGATGTGACCTGCCCCAAAAGTGACTTAAGGGAAGGGGAAGGGCCTGTCACAGCACTTTTTTTTTTTTTGCATTTTGGGTCACACCTGGCGATGCATAGGGGTTCCTCCTGGCTCATGCACTCAGTAATCACTCTTGGTGGTGCTCGGGGGACCATATGGGATGCTGGGAATCGAACTCGGGTCGGCTGCGTGCCGGACAGACGCCCTACCCGCTGTGCTAACGCTCCGGCCCCCGCATTTCATTTTCAAAGGGATATGGCTGAGCAACACTGAGCGGCTCTCAGCTGCCACACCTCGCTGCCGTGCACACCTTGAAGGAGAAAGGGCGTCCTGCGAAGATCGCTCCTCCCGAAAGGCCCCTTCGCCCCACCTGCTTCGAGAGCAAGATGCACTCCTCAGAATTCCCAACAATTCCCAAGCGTTCAGTCAAAGTAACGGACCCCGATTCGGCTGGTGTGGAAACTGGAAATTTCTGAAGTGGTCCTTTCCTCCTTGGGCCCGAAGGTGGGGTTACGACCAGCCAGGAGCATCTCCGAGGCTGCAGAGAAAAGAGACTTTCCTTCCGTCAGTGCAGGTGAAGACGCGGCCAGTAGAAGCCAACTCTTGCTGAGGAATGAGGAGGTCGAGGAGGAACAAGAAAGCAACAGGAGGGTGGAGAGAAACGGGAGAGCAGAGATGCACACTCCGATGCCCTGTCAGCCTCACCGAGCAGGGAAACACGGAGAAGTTTGGTTTCCAAACCAAAACACTTGCCACTGTGCAAGCCAATTTTTTTCACCCCATCCCAAACCCTGATTTGTTTTGTTTAAAAAAAAAAAAGAAAGAAAGAAAAAAGAGATTGCTCACAGCTTAACGACCCCAGGGACACAACAATCAGGCTCAGAATTCAAAAGTCCCACCCCACGGGCACAATAAAAAAATAGAACTCACTCCCCGGGGTGGTCTGTCTAGGCCCCGTGCAGACGCGGAGCCAGGCCGGGGAGGCGGGGGCGCGCGGGCAGCTCAGGCCAGGCTGAAGCCCTCGTAGTTGTCCAGCGCCTGGGTCAGCCGCGCGCACAGCGTCTCTTTGCTGCTGTACTTGGGCAGGTCCAGCAGGTTGTAGCAAGTGTGGGCCACGGGCAGGTAGTCCTCTCCACTGGCCGTGGGCTGGATGACGATTTGCAAGCTGGCCATGCCGTAGATGGGGATGCGGTCACTGCCAGTCAGGAACACTGTGGAGAGAGCAGGGCCATGACCAACGGCTCACGGCACGGGCAGCGCCAACTGCCCTTCATTTATTTATTTATCTAGTTATTTATTTTTGCTTTTTTGGGTCACACCCGGCAATACCCAGGGGGTCCTCCTGGCTCTGCACTCAGGAGTTACTTCTGGCGGCGCTCAGAGGACCATATGGGATGCTGGGGATCGAACCTGGGTTGGCCACGTGCAAGGCAAACGTCCAACCCGCTGTGCTATCTCTCCAGCCCTGCCAACTGCCCTTCAGACCCTGGTTCCTTGGGAATAGTGGGACGGGGAAAATGAGGTGTGTTGTTTTCTTTAAGTATGACCATAGTGTTCTTTTTGGGTCACACCTGGCGATACTCAGGGGTTACTCCTGGCTCTGCACTCAGGAATTACTTCTGGCAGTGCTCGGGGGACCAAATGAGATGCTGCGAAATTGAACCCGGGTTGACAGCATGCAAGGCAAACACCCTCCCCACTGTGCTATCACTCCAGCAACCTGATCATAGTGTTCTTAACACAAAAGACAAGGTGAGTTAAACAGACATGGATTGTTTTAGTGGGGCCAGTGGGTGTTTGCCTTGCATGCGGCCACCTGGCTTCTGTCCCCGACATCTTATTGGGTCCCCCGAGTCCCACCAGGAGTGGCCCCTGAGTGCCGAGCCAGGCATAACTCCTGAGCATGGAGTAGCCCCAAGGCAAAGCAAAGCAAAATGAAGCAGATTATATTAGTTTCGGATGCACCCAAGTTAACATTTGTTTCTATACAATGAGAACTGTAGCACTGTCCTCCTGTTGTTCATCGATTTGCTCGAGCGGGCCCAGTAATGTCCCCATCGTGAGAATTGTTGTTACTGTTTGGCATATCGAATACGTCACAGGTAGCTTGCCAGGCTTTGCCATGCAGGCGAGATACTCTCCGTAGCTTGCCGGGCTCTCCCACAATCTACTCAAATCGTTCTTTTACCGATGGGCCATTTCACTCAATCACACACTCAAATGATATGCCTGTAATAATGAACATCTTAATTCATGTTGCTTTTCCCACAGCTGTGTGACCTCCTTAGAACAGATTAATAATTTTTACTTCAGGAGACATCCACTCCCACTTCTAAAAACACAGTTTACTTTAAAAAGAGAAACAAGGGCTGGATCAATAATACAGTGTGTGTGTGGGTGGGGGGGGAACTGGAGCGATAGCACAGTGGGTAGGGCGTTTGCCTTGTACGCAGCCAACCTGGGTTCAGTTCTCAGTATCCCATATGGTCCCCCGAGCACTGCCAGGAGTAATTCCCGAGTGCAGAGAACAATGAGAACAAGGGCCACAATTTCTATCTACGTCGCATCTGATCTTTGCAATTTTTCAGGACCAAAATACTCGCTTGCTGCCTTCGAAAGCCAGGCCATACGCTGCAGCCTGTGACTTATTCATGAGGTGACTGGAAGTTTGTACTTCTTGATCTCCTTCAACATCTTCCCCTTCCACTTAGGTAAGCACCGGTCCATCGACTGTATCAGAGAGTTTTGATTTGCTTTATTAATTCCAGAGAGAGGTCAAATTACAGCATATTTGTCTCTCTCTGATGAAGTAAAACCCAGCTCTCGGAAGCGCGCATTTGCGGCCGCGCGACATCTTATTATCTCATTCTTACTTTGGAGAACCTGGCAGGCTACCGAATGTAGCCTGCCCACACGGCAGAGTCTGGCAAACTCCCCATGGCATACCCGATATGCCAAATACCAGTAACAATGATGGGTCTCATTCTCCTAACCCTGAAAGAGCTATTGGGTTAGAATTTCTTCTTGAGATAATGAACATGGTCTAAAATTGGGAAGTTACAGCTCTGAATATATGAAAAACTGTTGATTTTTAGGCTTTATTGGAAGTTTGGAAGTTTGCATTGTTTGTCAATTACATCTCCATAGTTATTAAAAATTACATCTCCCAAGATCTGCAGTCACTGACACTATCCTCCCACTGTTCATCGATTTGCTTGAGCGGGCCCAGTAACATCTCCATTGGGAGACTTGTTGTCACTGTGTTTGGCATCTCGAAGACATCACGGGGAGCTTGCCAGGCTCTGCCATGCAGGCGAGATGCTCTCGGTAGCCTTGCCGGGCTCTCCGAGAGGGGCAGAAGAATCGAACCCGGGTCAGTCATGTTGGCTGCATGCAAGGCAAATGCTCTACCCGCTGTGCTATCACTCCAGCCCAAGACCTGCAGTAGACATCTTTTATTTCCAGTAGAGTGTCTGGGGAAAACTAAACTCTTTAATTCCATCCATGTAATACTTCGGTAAATCATTCGCTTAGAAAAATAACCAGTAAGGACACCCCACAGCTGCCTTCATGTTAGTGGCCTAGCTTTGCAGCTTGTGACTAATCTCGAAAGAGATCACGGGACGCCTGTCCCCCAGTGCTACAGTCCACACCCCAAACCCGTTGGCTCAGCTGCACAACTAATCTGCAAGCCTGTGAAAGTCCCAGGGCCCCGGGGCCCCGGCTGAAAACTCAGGAATCAATATATAACTTCCAACATAAAGCCTAAAACTCAGGGCCTCCTCAGGAGTCATCCCAGTTCTACAGCTCCTGGAGTGACCGCTCCAAACTCCACCACACTGACAGCCCAGTAGGAGCACAACAAATAAGATGGGAAGGAGACATAGAGGCCCACCAGCCTTGATAACAGGAGGCTCAGTGAGCAACCAACAGCTCTGTAAATCCTCAATAACTTGCCCAGCTTTTGTTTTCTTTAACTTTTAAAAATTTATTGAACTGCCATGAGCTACAAAGGTACAAAGCTGCTCCCGACTGAGTTTCAGTCACACGGTGTTCGAACACCCATCCCTTCTCCAGTGCCCATTTCTCTCTTGTCCCCAGCCTACCTCTATGGCAGACGCTTTTCTTTTTTCTCTTTTCCTTTGAGGCATTTTTGTTTGTGATACTTTTACTGGGAGGGTACCATGTATATCACTTTTACCTCCTTTCAGCTCCCAGTTCTGGTCCAGAGTGACCCCCTATCACTGTCTTGGTGGTCCCTTCACTCACCTAACCACCCTGCCCCAACTGTGGCAAGCACTTTGCTAAGGACCATCCTCCTAGCCTTTGTTTCTATTGTCAGACAATGATTTCAATAACAAACTGAGACAGAACAGTTTTCACAATGCGCCACGTCCAACAAGAGGTGGTACTCAGGGAGCACACGGGATGCTGCGATCAGACCCAGGTCAGCCCCACGCAAGGCAAGTGCCTACACACTGTGCCTTCACTCTGGCTCCTACTGACCTCTTTATTTAAAAAAAAATTGTATTTACCATTTTGTATTACCAAGAAATATAAAATATTTTGTGCCCACCAAGAAGGAAAGCTTGGTGTAGGAGTAGGAACCAGGGGACATTGGTGGAGGAAGGTCACGCTGGTGGTGGCATTGGTGTTGGAACACGGAAACAACTGTGCTGTGAACAACTCTGTAACAAAAGCTGTTTAAATAATGTTAAAATGAAAAGAAAATAACTAGGAAGTGTAAAGTAGTTGAGAATCAGTGACACACTTTCATGTAAACTCTTGTTAGGCAGAAAATTCACCGCCACGGTCCTCCCGCTGTTCATCGATTTGCTCGAGCGGGCCCAGTAACGTCTCCATCGTGAGACTTGTTGTTCCTGTGTTTGGCATATCGAGTACGTCACAGGGAGCTTGCCAGGCTTTGTCGTGCAGGCAAGCTACTCTCGGTAGCTTGCCGGGCTCTCTGAGAGGGGCGGAGGAATTGAACCTGGCTCGGCCGGGCTGGCTGCGCACAAGGCAAACGCCCTACCGCTGTGCTATCACTCTAGCCCAGGCAGAAAATATAGATCAGCAATAGGTTTTCTGCCCAAAGTACCATAAAGACAAAAAGCATAGGAAGTGCTATTTACTATACCTTTTGGGGGGGGGGGGTGTGTGTGTTGGGGGGGGACACTCCCTAAGCAGTCTCAGGGCTTTCTCCTGGCTCTGCACTCAGGGATCACGCCTGGAGGGACTCAGGGGGGCCGTCGGGGGGGCCTGTGATAACCCAGCTCAGCCCCAAGCAAGGCAAGTGCCTTCCCCACAGGACTATTGCTCTGCTCATCACTATACCATTTTAAACAGCTGAATTAACTTGAGAGCATATGGTCCTGCACCAGTTACAGGACTGAAATGTAGCCAGGTAAATGCCCTCTGGAGACCACTGATACTTACAGAGAAACTTCTTCTTTTTTTCCAATGGAAACTCGTGAAACGTTTCCCAAAAGAGTTTCACAGTGGGATGTGCGGCTGAGTAATCCCCCTTATAGACAGCCGTCTGTCCGAGAAAACAATAAACAGATAAAAGAGAATTAACTGAAGGGGAGGAGGACCCCAGCGGACCCTGTCCAGCTTCTGCATTTGAGATGAAGAACATGATTGCCATTCAATGCCTCTTGGGCAAACCACAGCACCCAAAAGGAGAGAGAGAACAAAAGGGAATGCCCTGCCACAGAGGCAGGGTGGGATGGGGGGATGGGGGAGTGGGAGGGAGACTGGGACCCGTGGTGGTGGAGAATGAACACTGGTGGAGGGAAGGGTGCTCGATCATTGTATAACTGAAACCCAAGCACAAAAATTTGTAAGTCTACAACTGTACTGCATGGTGTTTCACTTATTTATAAAAATTTAAAAAATAAAATAAAATAAAATGAGATGGATGGATAATTTAAAGAAAAAAAGAAGCACCCCCTGAAGTTTGTGGGGAGATGCCCGCATGGTGAGCCCACATCTGCCCAGGGCTCTCCCGGGCTCCCCCCATTACTCACCGCCTCCAGCTCCTTCCAGTCATAGTTGCAGTTCCCCACCATCATGGCCCGCAGTTCCGACGGCTGGAAGAGCTCGAGCACTTTGCCACCGCACACCTTCAGGAAGCCGCTGGAGAAAGCCGAGTACCACTCGTGCACTGAGATCTGGAAGACGTAGTTCACGTAGGCATCCACAAATTCCTGCCTGACAGAGAACCGGAAGGAGAGGCTCTGATTAGCCCGAGGTCTGAAGGAGTCCATCACATGCCCTTCTAGTCCTGAGGGGGACCGAGGGGGGGGGGGAATGAAAGAATTTCACCAAATCCTTATGCCAGGTGACATCAGCTATTGTCTGATGCTGGGATTCCACCAAGATGTCTCAGGAGAAGGCACATAGGAGAAATCACACTTACTGATGTTTTAAAATCCTGAGGTGCTCCAGGGTTATTTGGGGCGGGGTAGGGGGGTGTAAGTGGCTGTGCTCAGGGCTTACTCTTGGCTCTGGGCTGAGGGATCACTCCTGGCAGGGCTCAGGGGATCATAAGGGTAACAGGCATTCAACCTGGGTCAGCCACATTCAAGGCAAACACATTTTTTTTCTTTTTCTGGATCACACCCAATGATACACAGGGATTATTCCTGTTGTATGCACTCAGGAATTACCCATGGCGGTGCTCAAGGGACCATACGGGATGCTGGTAATCGAATCCAGGTCGGCCGCATGCAAGGCAAACGCCCTACCCTACCCGCTGTGCTATCGCTCCAGCCCCAAGGCAAATACTTTATCTACTAGACTATTCATTAATAGGAGAATGGAGAATTCAGCTCAGGCTTCTGAAGGGAAACAGAGTACTCTAAAGAGAATCATTTGGTTGGTTTGGGCGACAACCCCAGGTGGTGCTCAGGGCTTACTCCTGGTTCTGCACTCAGTGGTCACTCCTGGTGGTGCTCAGGGATGCTAAGGGGTGTCCAGGTATAGAATCTGGGTCAGTGATATTGAGGTAAACACCCTACCCACTGCACTCTCTCTCCAGATCCAAGTTTTAAAAAGTTGAAATCAAATTCCATTGAAATTTTACCAATTTTATAGTTATCAAAATGAGCAATTTCAGTATGAATATCAAAAACAGAATCTCAGGGAACGCTAAGTTAAAAACAAACTTTTTAATGTTAAAATCCACATGCTAGCATTTATATCTTTTTTGTTCTTTGGTGGGGCAGGATAGTTTCGGGTCACTCTGGGCTGTACTTGGAGATGACCTCCTCCCCAGTCAGGGCATGGGGTGTCATGCCCAGACATCACCCCTGGGCCCCCCACATACATGCATGAGTGCCTGTCCCTCGGGCTAGCTCTCCAGCCCCAGAGAAGCTGTTCTGTTACCACATCAAACAAGGCTGGCTCGACGGCTTACAGCTCAGGGTCCTTAAATCTTTCTGTGCCTCAGTCTCCTCAGCTCAGTACAGGGATGGTACGTGAACATAGCCATGGTGACAGTGAGAAAGGACGTGAATGAATGGAAGCAAAGCGTTTGCAACTAAGACACCTTTGAACATGTTAACCATCGTTTTATTGTTTACAGCAATGAGGTTTATGAATATAAAATCAAATATAGCACAGAGGGTAGGGCGTTTGCCTTGCATGCAGCCAACATGGCCGACCCGAGTTCGATTCCTCCGCCCCTCTCGGAGAGCCCGGCAAGCTACCAAGAGTATTCGATATGCCAGACACAGTAACAGTATCAGTTTTATAGTTGCAAAAATGAACAACTTTCATATGAATATCAAAAACAGAATCTCGGGAAAAATGTTACACTAAAGACAAGTTTTTAAATGTTAAATCCATATGCTAGCATTTATATATATATATATATTAAAAGTATAACCATATAAACATCTTTCTGTTAGTTATTTTAAAGCATAGAAATGAAGGGGCCAGAGTGATAGTACAGCAGACAGGATATTTGCCTTGTACATGGCAGACATATAAAATCCAGCTCCCGGAACATCTTATCAGGACATCTTATTATGACATCTTATTATCTCATTCCTACTTTGGACAAACTTGCAGGCTATCGAATGTAGCCTGCCCACAGGGCAGAGTCTGGCAAACTCCCCGTGGCCTACCAAATATGCCAAATACCAGTAACAATGATGGGTCTCATTCTCCTAAAGAGCCTTGAATATAATCTCAGGGCTAGGAAGAAAGAGACGCTACTGGGGCCTGCTCGAGGCAATCGACGAATAACAGGATGATGAAATGAATGAAATGAAATGGCAGACGGGGATTTGATCCCCGGCATCCCATATGGTCCTCCAGGCACTGCCAGGAGTGATTTCTGAGCACAGAGCCAGAGAAACCTGAGTACCGCTGGGTGTGGCCCCAAAATGGGGGGTGGGGGGAGTAAAAAAAAAACACTAAAGAATACGTATGCATGGGGGCTGGAGCGATAGCACAGCGAGTAGGGCGTCTGCCTTGCACGCGGCCAACTTGGGTTCGATTCCCAGCATCCCACAGGGTCTGCTGAGCACCGCCAGGAGTGATCCCTGAGTGCATGAGCCAGGAGGAACCCCTGAGCATCGCCGGGTGAGACCCCAAAAAAGCAAAAAAAAAAAAAAAGAATACACATGGAAGTTACATGGAAGCTATAAAGTTTTGTTCGTAAGGAAAGAAGAATGAGGGGGCCGACAGACAGGACAGCAGGTGAGGTGCTTGCCTTCATCCAGCTGACCTGGGCCCAATCTCCAGCCCCACGGACGGTCTGAGACCTGTAGGGTGATCCCTGGAAGCCAGGAGGAAGCCCTGAGCACCCACAAATGTGTCCCCAAGTCAAACAAATGGAAAGAAGAACAGAAGAGAGAAGTGGGACTAAGAGATATATGAAAGAATTCTAATATATGGTTTCTGTTCTTTTATTTAAAAATCTGAAGCAAAGTACTAGTAATCTCTCGATCACAGATGCAAAGACGTTTGTCAAACTCTCTGCAATTTTCCATCTTCAATATTTTTCTAAAATAGAAAGCTGGTATTATGAAGACAGATACTTTTTATGGGGGATGGGCCACACCTGGCGGTGTTCATATCTCATCGCTGGCTCTGTGCTCAGGAGTCCCCCCTGGCGGGGCTCAGGGACCCCTGTGGGTACCAGAGATCAGCCAGGTCAGCAAGCGCCTTAGCTGCTGCAATACCCCTCGGGCCCCAAGCTCTCGCTCGCCCTTCTGCGCCACCCATGCTACCCGTACTGCAGACACTGCACCCGGGAGGACTTGGGTACAAGTCCCCGCGCAAGGCTGTCTTCGCCCGGGCTGCAGCGCCGAGAGGTCGGATCCTGCAGCCAGCACAGGCCGTGGGCGCTGGCTGGGGAGGGCCTTGCCATCTTCCAACTTCGCTTCTCCCCCTGGACAGAAAATCTTCGGGAAGGTTCTAGAACATTTATACACATGCACACTGGAGAAAGCACCCCCCCCCCTCCCAGTGAACCAGTGAAGCAGACCCCTGGGACGAGGAGAGAAAAGCCGGGCCAAGAGGGTCTGGACTAGCCAAAGTGGGTCGAAGGTCTGGGCTCGTCTGAGCGCACCGGGAAGTGTCTGGGCTCGCCAAAGTGGGCCGAGGGTCTAGGCTCCCTGGGGCGGGCCAGGAAGGATCTCGGCTCACCGGGGCGCGCCGGGAAGGGTCTGGACTCTCCAGGGCTGGCCAGGAGGGATCTGGGCTCGCCGGGGCGGGTCGAGGGGATCTGGGTTCGCCAAGCCGGGCCAAGGGGGTCTGGGCTGGCTGGGGCGCGCCGGGAAAGGTCTGGACTCGCCAGGGCGGGCCAGGAGGGGTCTGGGCTCGCCGGGGCGGGTCAAGGGGGTCTGGGTTCGCCGGGCCGGGCCAAGGGGGTCTGGGCTTGCCGGGGCGAGTCGAGGGGGTCTGGGTTCGCCGGGTCGGGTCAAGGGGGTCTGGGCTCGCCGGGATCTAGGCTCCCAAAAGCGGGCCGAAGAGATCTGGGCTCGCTGGGCCGGGAAAGGTCTGAGCTCGCCAGGCTGGATCGAGGGGGTCTGGGTTCTCCAAAGCGGGCCGAGGGGGGTTCTGGGCTCGCAGGGTCGAGGAGGGTCTGGGCTCGCCGGGCCGAGGGTGTCTGGGCTCTCCGCGCGCGCTACCCAGCCACAGGCGCACGCGGCGCCCGGGGTGGTGGGCGCGGTCCCCGGAGAGGAATCGGGCGCGCGAGCGGATGGTGGTGGCCAGTTTCGCACCCTGAAGCCGGGAGCTGGGCGGCGGGAAGGAGGGGACCCCCGCCCCACGCACGGCCAAGGGTCCGAGAGTCGGTCCAGGTCCACGGTCCCCTAAGCCCCGCGCACCGCAGGGCGCGCCGCCCTCGCCCCCAGCCCCCACGGAAACGGGCTCGGGGCGCCTCTGGGCAGCTGCCGCAGCGCGGCGGTGGCGGCGGGGGGCGGGGGCGGCCGCAGCGCGTCCTGGGGCTCGGCCGGGAGACCCGCTAGCACCGCGGGGTGGGGGGCGCCGGGGCCCGTCGCCAGGAGACGGGCGCTGACGTGGGCTGCGGTGCTCGGAGGCTGCACGGAGCAGCAGGTGACATGGGTCAGCTGCTACCCGGGAGCCAGTGGTGCGCGGCCGCGGGGCCGGGGGGCGGAGCGTGGCGCACGTCACACGCGCGCGGGGCCCCTTGCCGCAGACCCGAGCGCAGAGCGCAGTCGGAGCCCGCACTCGGCAGCGCGCGTCCTCAGCCCGCAGCCCGCGCCGCGCGCCCTGTCTCCGCGCATCCCGCCGCGCGCCCTGCATCCCTGCATCCCTGCATCGGCGCATCCGCGCATCCGCGCATCCCCACGTCCCTGCACTGCCGCGGCGGCGGTTCCCGGGGCCCGGCATGGCTGAGGCGGACAAGCCCAAGGAGGTGGCCGAGGTAAAGGCGGAGGGCAGCGCCGAGGGGGGCGCCCCGGACGGCGCCGCCACCGCCGCCGCTGCCACCGCTGCTGCGCCCGCCGCGCCCACCGCGCCCGCCGCGCCCACCGCGCCCGCCGCTGCCGCCGCCGCCCCCACGGCCGCCGAGCCGTCGAGCCCCGAGCAGAAGGTGGCCAAGCCCAAGAACGACTTCCTGGAGAGCCTGCCCAACGCCGTGCGCTACCGCGTCCTGGCGCTCAAGAAGCTGCAGAAGCGCAGCGACAAGATCGAGGCCAAGTTCGACAAGGAGCTGCAGGCGCTCGAGCGCAAGT